TCTGCTTTTTCTGAATCAGAACCAGAAAAATGAAAAAAAAACACCCTATCATTTTTGCAATTTTTTTAGCTGTATATTCATTTAAGATTTCTCAAATATTTTTTAAGACTTCAGAAATCATGGTGAATTTAGATTTTTAAAAGTCTTGAAGTATTCATCTGAAATTTTAAAAGTCTTACAAAATCTTGAACTATTAGACTTATTTGAGACTAGAGTTTGTTAGGATTAATAAAGAAAAAACATATACGAATTCAATCTAAATCTCACCTCCAGACGATTTTACAAAATTCCTCTAAAATATAAAAATTTTAGGGGGTGTATTCTTCTCCATACCTAAGATTTCACAAGATTCCTCTTAAATTTGGAAATCTTAGAGGGTGTATTCCTTTGAAATTTCGAGTGACATCTTGAGACTTTTTAAGCTTTGATACTTTCTAAGACTTTTTAAGATTTTCAAGTTTTAGAGGAAGCTATGAAATCTTAAGTTTCGAAGTTTCGAAGTGAAATTTTCTATAAGGTTTTTCTTTTAAAATGCCAACAAAATTTAAAAAAATCCTAATAAGTCATAATCTCAAATAAGTTAAATACCTCAAAATTTTATAAGACTAATCTCAAATGAATACTCCATGACTATTAAAAGTTTTAAAAACAACAACAACAACAACAACAACAACAACAACAACATAGCCTTTAGTCCCAAGCAAGTCGGGGTAGGCTAGAGATGAAACTCAAGAGAAACACAAAAGACTCGAACAAAACACNAGAACTCCCCTACGCACCGGTGCATCAAGAGGCCTCCGTTGGACATGTCCGAACCACCTCAGCCGATGTTGAACCAATTTCTCCTCAATTGGGGCCACCCCGACCCTATCTCGAATATTCTCATTCCGGATTCTATCCCTTCTTGTGTGCCCGCAGAACCAACGCAACATACGCATCTCTCCTCAATTAAAAGTTTTAAAAAGTCTAAATTAAATACATCAAGAATTTTAAAGATTAAAAATTCTTTAGAAATCCCAAATGAATACACCTACCTTCAAAAGTCTCAAAATGTCACTCGAAATCTCAAACGAATACACCCTTTTTCTTTCCCTATTATAGTGGCCAAATACACCTGCAGTTCACCATAAGAAAAAATATTCAATCAAAAATTGGATAGTGTTGATTGTTTCCAATAGGGAAAAACACTATGCTTGCGGTAACATGAACTTAACCAGCCAAGGGGAGCTCTTTGTTTTAGCCAACAGGATCACACCGTGCACATGAACTACTAAAGGTTGGAAAATTGTACAAATTGATACATAAATATAATCTAACTTAGACTAGCTGGCGACTAATGTGAAGAATGGCCCAAGTTCCTCATCTCACAATATTCCACCCGTTAAATTTGTTTTGTTCCGCTTGAATCTGCTTGTTCTTTGGTCTGTTCTGCAAGGGAGAACTTCTTGACTTTCTGTGAAGCAAAGGGTTTAAAACAGCAACACAATTAACCGTAGAAAAATATGGAATCGCAACCATAAGCTCAAAGGTGAAGAATAGAGTAAATAGACTCAATTAGCTTGAAACGTATATGGGCCAAATCAAATACATGTTAATTGTTATAACTTGAATCGTAGGCGCACACAAACAAATAGAAAAAACTAAATAAAATATCATGCAGCACAATTTTTTTAGACACTCCATATTACAAAATAAAAGTTGGCTGCGATACTCTCTGTGTGGAAATGTAAATTGCAGAACCTATACGTAACACTCAAACAGCTGAACTTATCCTAAACAACTAAAAAGTGAAAACTGAAAAGTCACCAGTCATGAGATTTTCTATCACTTAACAAGTCCCCACTGCGGAGAAATAATTTGTAAGTTTGAGAGAGATTTTTCTTAAGAATTGCTCTACTGTTGGTGAGAGAGTGACCTAATTAAACTTTTCTTATCAATCTAATTTCAGGGTATACCATTGAACAATAATAAACTCAACTTATATACAAAGCAACTAAAAAGTGCGAATCTGAGCTTCCTAAAACAAATGAAACGAACAAGATGAAGTCACCTAGCTCTTAAAGAACATTGTTCTGTGGTATCATGGAATATGAAATTGAATCCACAAGTGAGTATTTTCATACCTAGCCATCAACAATAGCTATAGAAACTTTATCCACAAGTCCAGATTAAATATAAAAGGCAGGTCAAATAAAGATTTTTGAAAAAAAAAACACCTGATTAGAAAGTGGCAATCAAATGGGACAATGATAAACTAAATGAGAAAGATGAACAAGCCTGAAAAAACCTGCATAGCGTATGCTTATGATAATTAATTTGAGGAAACAATTATGTCTAATTAGTCACGTGTTCCGAACAAAACAAAGATGTGAATTTAGTAGAATATATAACTCATTCCATTTGACATGAAAAACAGAATTTCACATTCGGTTGGATATATGTATCAAATCAGAATTTTCTTTCCTATGTTATTCTCGAAAATTTCTAGCTTGTCAACCATGTTCTTCGAGCAGTTCAGGTGTACCTGCTCGTGCCCATAGTTTAAAACATTGAAAAAATCAGGCTCCTATATTATCGAAGCTCACGATGGCCAGGTTTATCTGTGAATTCTATATAACATGTCAACTCATACCGGAATTTGGTTTACCCATTAAGAAACTACAAAACAAAACATAAGCATTAAACATCCAGCTCTATATGGATGAACTTGCACAACTTCAAGCTACTATTTCAACATCAATAACATGCCTCCACACTCAGAACGCAACAATTTCCTCATTTACAAACATAATTCACAACTCACCAAGCATTGTAACAGCCATAACCATGCCATATCACAATTTTCACAATCACTGAAGATTCACATCACAAATCAAACAAACAAATTACTTTCAATTTACCGTCAAATTATCGACTAATCATTACCTTGTCGACGACGCACTGACGCAGAGCTTGAAGGAGAGAATTGCATCTGTCCTGATCGTAAGGCGATTGAGCGATGCAATTGAGCAGATCGAGTGCTTCTTTGCCGCACACCGCCATCTGTTGATTTTGAGATGGCTCCATTTTATTTCCGCCCTTCAATTTCTAGGGTTTATGATTTTGGGGTTTTAGGGGTTTTTTGAATGGGAATAATGTGTAGGCCTTTGACAATTTTTGCAGACAATTTTGGTCTCTGGGCGCCCACTGAGTTCTCAGCCTGGTTTTCTTGTGCTACAAGAACAATCCACTCAACCAAAATTCGAGTTATTTTTCTCTTGCTTTTTATATTTTTTCTTCTATTTTTCCTCATTTCTCTTGTTTAGTAAAATAAGTTAAATAACTGAATGAGTAATGAAATTTTGCAGAATGATATCTTAGACAACATGTGTAAACGAAAGCTCGGGTTAGCTTTTTTAACTAAACGAACCAATAATCAAGCTCAAGTTCGACTTGTTTATCAATATTAACATATGGAGTTACAAAAAATCATATAAATTTTTCTCCTTTCAAGCTTCAACAAGCTGAGCCTAGTCCGCTTCGTTAACAAATTGAGGCCGAGCTCATCTCGATAAAACAAATCGAGTCAAGCTCACGAGCAACTCGTTCCGTTTAACAGCTCTACATGTAGTATACGAAATTCTTATACTTGTTTTTTTTTTTTATTTCGAACGACAACTATATTAATAACTTAAAAAATTCAAAAGAGTACAATCGAGATTCAACTGACATCACCGGAACCAGAACAATTCTAGACCAATCCCCTTGAAATACACAGATGACTAAGAGAGTACAAGCTCCATCAAGGAGACACAACCACGGGACAAAAAAACTCCATAAAAGAGACCCAAACTCCATATAGGAGACTAAACGTCAGATGCAACTGGACTAAACAAGCGAAAAACAAAAACGACCCACACCTCATTTACACATAGAATAAGAACTCCTCTAAACCTTGTAGGCAAAACACATAGCCACCCAAATCATTGCATAAAATTGAAGTAAACCATTACTTATTCACTATTCTCTAGTAGGTTTGTCTAATAATTAGATCGTTATATTTTTTTCACAAATATTCATATTTTCATTTGAAAATGCCATACTATAAAAACATAAAATAAAAATATGACATTTAACAGTATAAACATGCATATTTATTCACATTGTTTGACGAGTCGATCAAACTAACAATTAGACTGTCTTACACAATAATTTGTGATTTTCTATTACTGTATCAAAACTCGGTTCACCCATTTAAAGAATGCAACTAAACAAATAATGAGCCACCACACATGTTATTTTCACATGCCCATTTCATTTAAGAACAAGCCCATTTCATTTAAGAACAAGGATAATACATTAATAATATGCATGAATGATATTATTGCACATAACTATGATAATGGTGTCTGCAAATAAGAAAAGACAAAGAGACAGCAACATATATCGTATTACTGTAAATTACTATTGTGTCTGTCTTGAAATTAGACCTCGTGTTCAACAATAAACAAGCACTAATAGAAGGCTGTTGCTGTACTGTACCTATAATAGGGAAATATTGACCATTTTATCGACAATAATAGTGGTTAATGCATGCAACCACAAAAACATTGAAGTACATATTGCCTACTTTGAGGGCTATATAAGCCAACCAAACTTTTTTCGTTGTCTTTCTTTATTTTCGATTTGAAATTTATCGACCATGCACAATTCGGGTCTACTTCTTAATCGGTAAGAATTAGACCTTTGTCACTTGGAGCGGACCAGTCAAACATGTCGTAACTCGGGACAAATCATTATGGATCTAACGTTTAAAAATTGTCGAATGATTTAGCTGATATACTTTATTTTAACAAATATTTATTAAACTATTTGAAAATACTTTTTCACTAATGTTTAAAATTTAGATGGATATACTTTCTAATAGAAATATCATACTTGAAAGATAAGTATAAAATTGCACTATATAATTAAAGTATACAGATGTTACGACCTGATCCGACGAACGGCTAAATGTGTGTTTATTTATAATTTTTTTCAATTATACTCAATTCATACTAAAATCAAATTCAACTTTAAGTTGATTCAATTATATATTCTCAACATTATTAATATAATTAAATAATAAAAAATTAATTACTTTTACACATCACATCAATTTTAATTCATTAGTTATCTACTCACATAATTTGAACTAATAATTATTTTACATCACATCTTTCTGTTTTTAAATCAAATCAACTTTAATTATTTAATTTTAACTATTATTTTAATATAAATAAAAAATTACACTAACAACTAATTATATCACATTTTTCAAAATTTATTATGATTAATTAAAAAAATTTCTTTTGATTAGATATATTTGTATCAAAGCACACCCTAAATTGACTCAAACCACGAGCAGAACAAATTTAACACCACAGGTCCACAATGGCGTGGCACACGAGCGCCTACAATAAACCATAATTATAGTATTTGAGTTTCACTTTATTTTTCCACCTAATTTTCATCTCTTTCCTGGCCACGTAACCCACTTTTGACCCTGATTTGTGAGAATAAAATAAAATAAAATAAAACAAGTAAAACTAAAATTAGTAATTTGTACATGAAAGTTTCGTAATTTCAGTATTTATACCCTGATATTGATTATTGAGTACATTGGTACAAAAGGTAAAAACATCTCATTTACTGATAGTAAATCAACATTTTTCACATAGGTACAAAACATCTCATTTACTAAAGACAAAACAAAATAAAAGAAAAAAATCCAAAAATCAGCAAACTTTTCCTATCTGATTTTAAACTACACTCATCATCTCTTCAAAATCCTGAAAGGGCAACGAGAGGATCCGACCCGAAAACGTCAGCAAAGTCTTGAAAGCAGTCCTCAGCTTGCCACATGGACGATCCGACACCGAAATCCGGGTCGAAATTTGACCCGCTAATCATACTGTCCCAACAATCCCAATCACTGGGTCCCAAACAATCGCCAGCCTGATCCGTTTTACCAAGCAAATCGGGTACGGACATCGGGTTTTCCAAGTCCCCAAACAAATCTTCACCCAGCGGAAAAATCGCAAAACCCTCGAGATTCTCGTTATTCGAAACGGCGTCGTCTTGGGCAGAGGATAAAGTGGGACCCGAATCGGCTTCGGGTACGGGTACGGGTTGGGACTGCGGCATCGAAACGAACCGGAGTACAGATTTCGGCGACGTCGGGTCATCGGTGTTGTACACGCATCTTATGTTGTCCTTCTCCGGTTGAGGAGGGGCCGAGAAGTTCGTGAGCGCGTCTGGTCCACGCAGCTGGACGGCCGCGTGGTCGTACATCATAGCGGCCTCCTCCGCCGTCTCGTACGTGCCGAGCCACAGCCGCACGCGCCGCTTGGGGTCCCGGATCTCGGCCGCCCACTTCCCCCACGGCCTCCGCCGCACGCCGATGTACTTCCGGGCTTCCACCGCCGGCGCCGGCATATCCCTCGGTGCCCTCCGCCTGGACGCGCCGCGGCGGCGGCAGGTCGGGCCGCCGTATTCTCCGCCACCGGAAGGCCGTATCCTGACCTCGTGGACAAATCTCCTCACTCTTCGCCTTCCGACGCCGCCGAGCTCCTCATCGCCGGAGGAATCTGTGGCGTCGGCGTCGGTGACGGAAATCCGCACCGTCCTAACGGACGTCTCACAGGGAGAAGGCTTTTCTCCCATGGAAATGGAATTCGGCCTTGCAACGGCCGTGGTCCGGCTCAAGTGCTCGGTGTATTTGACCCTTTTAACGGGCAACTTGGTTTTCTCTTCCATCACAGCAGAAAGGTGAAAAAACTCCACTGTTGTCCCTTTTCTTCTTGTTCTCTGTTTCTAATTTCTGTTTTTTTTTTTTCTTTTTTGTTTGGTTTTTTCAGATTCTCATTCAAAGCGAAAGGGATTTCTGAGAGTAAGGAAAAGGGTAATAAAATCTGGGCACGATTTTATACTAAGAAACTTTTGAGGAAAAGTGATGCTTGAAAACGACCATTGCCTCTGATATTTTTCGAAGAAGATGAACAAAAAACAGAGGATGTAATAAAAGCCCAGAAATGAGAATATCAAGAACAATATGAAGATATTTTTACCCTTTTTTCTCCTTTCAATAAAAGGATGATGTATATGAATATGAATATAAATATTTAGAATAAAGCCTAGATGGAAACTTGGATTCCTCTCTCTCAACTTTTCTTTTTGGTGTGGTGAAGACCTTGTGGTGGAGTGTGAGAAAATGTGAGATTTGCTTCTTCT